GGGGTTTAGGGCTCTGATCATCTCCCTAACTGACATGAGAAAACATCAACAATAACATGATTGTGTTATTATTGATCAAAAAACATTATCTAGGCTGAGAGATACTGGTTTAACTGGTCAACAACATCCTTTACAGCTTAACTTACCTCCACCATGCAGCCTCCACTGTAGAAAAAACAGCAAACTTAACAACAGTTTGATTGTCCTGTGGCCCCCACCTCACTTTTCTTTTGTCCTTTTGTCCTCCTCACATCAGGGTCAGAACCTCCTGTGAGGAGAACATTAACATTAATGAACTGTTTAAGCAGCTGATCCGATGGATGAGCACAGTTTTAGAAGCTAAGCTTCATCTGCTACTGTCAATCTTTAGTTAGCTTCTGAGTTTAGCTACGTAGATAAAATAAATTTACACACTAGTATCTTAAAGTTAGAGGCAGCCGTGTGCTGTTTGCACTGACAGGTTTTTTGTTTTTGTTTTTGGCTGGAGGGGGGGGGGGGTCGGCTGGGGGAGAGACAGACGCACATCTGAGCCGTGCGCTGTTTGCACCGACAGTTTTCGAGTGGCGGGGGTGCGTTCAGTGTGAGGGTTCAGCGTGAAGGAAGAGGCTGCCTTTGGCCTTTTAGCTAGTGCACCTGCATTGCAAGCCGCTAGTTTAGCGTTGCGTCAGTGCCGACAGGTGGTGGGGCTGGGCTTTGGTAGACGGGGCGCTCGGTTCTGTTGACGGGGCGGGGCGCCCCGCTTGTATAATGGTGGGGGAAACACTGGACTGGCAATACAGTATAGGCTTATTGAAAGAAAGTTACAAAATGGCAGTGCCTGTCCGAAGTACTACTGTATTTTATTTGTTAACTTTTTATCTGTACTGTCCCAATCATGTGAATAATATTAAAGTTAGGGCTGGGCGATGTGAACCAAAATTAATATCTCGATATTTTAAGAAAAATGACGATATATGATATATATCTTGATATTTTTTCTTTCAATAAAATAATAACAACAATATATTTCTGAGTCAAAGCTTTGTCGCAGTTGTCACACAGGCACATTTATTAACAGCTATAACTGTACAAAATAAATGTCTAAAAAATAAACTATTTACATATATTAAAGTTTGTTTTTAGACCTTTTTTTAACATTATTAAATAATAATAATTCATTGTGTTGGTTAACGTGCAGCAATGAGAGCGAGGGGGAAGGAGGGAGGCTGCATGACGTTAGCTGCGCAGACCGGCAGGAAAGAACCAGTGTCCACAGACTTTCACGTCTTACGGTGAGAGGAGGTAGCACCACATTAATAAAGCAGCGGCTTATCATATCACTAAAGATGCAGTCCTTAGCAGCTAACCGCCGTCTTGTTAGTCACTAAGCATCGCGTCTTTAGAGATGTAAGACGCTGTTTTGTTCACGTCACCTCTCATAAGGCCCAGCACCGAGTTAGTCTCAGGGAAGGAAGCTTCACAGCCGGTCTAAGACCGGAGCTCCAGCACCAAGTTCAACACACACTTCATACTCCATTACAGCGCTGCTTTAAACAGTGAAAAAGGTTCGTTGTGCTCGAACATTTTCATCGGGACTTATTTTCTGCATTTTTCTGTTGCACATCAGACAAATTAAATCTGAACCTTCTCAAAATAACAGAGCCATTATTTTCTTCCTGCTCGCCAGTTCTGCGACTTGCTCTCTCTCCATTTGTTTAAAATTTATTTATTTATTTATTGTTTGTGTCTGCTACGTGCCGCAGCAGCCGCTCCACCTGGAGAGAAGCAGGAAGCGGGGTGGGGGGGCGGGGCAGCGCACAGGTAGGGGCTGAGTTTGGAGTGAGTGAGAGGAGGGGGCCATGTGAGAGAAGAAAGACGACGGTAGAGCCGGCAGATTTTCAAGTAGAACTATATCGTTTATATCGAAATAATGTCAATTTATATTGCAAATGAAATTATGTTGATATTTTAAAAATATCGAGATATCGCCCCGCCCAAATTAAAGTAGACAATCGTTGAAAAACCACAAAAGAACGAGTCCACGACAGTCAAACTGCGAAGTAGCGAGGGACTACTGTAGTGTAAATCTGGGAGCTAAGCTGATCCTGAGTACAACCATAACCAAGAATGCAACTAAATGAGAGCTCAGCTAAACCGTTCAACTAACAGAAAAAAGTCTCTATTGTGTTGTCTGTTATGAAGACTGGTAAGGTTTGTATGGACTGGTCTGGCTCTTGTGGACCAGTCTGATTTGTGTTCATGGGTTTTTGGTCTACTTGTTGTGTTTTTTCCCCTCACAAGGCAGATGGATGAAATACTGGGTAATAAAATGTGACAAAATGTTCCACTCAAGTCTTACTCTGGTAATGTTTCAGTGATGTTGCTCTGCTCCCTCTTCCTCCCAGCTCTCATACTGTTCAGATATTTGCAGGATGAGAGTGTCTGGCCTGACTGAGAGTGATGTCTTGTATTTTATAGGTCGTCTTTGTATGAAAAAGGCTGTGGCAGATTCATCTTCATCTTTCATTCAGCATTTCCATAGTTTTATTTCTTCAGTAAGTATTCCTATTTTCTACTCAACATTCATCAACACAATAGCTGCTTCTAGTCATTAGATCATTCATTCATTTATTGAATGGCAATTTTATTTGCACCATGACACCCAGATTCAGTCCAAACATACTAAGAAATGTCAGTGGATGAAAATATACAGGTCCTTCTAAAAAACTGAGCATATTGTGATAAAGGTCATTATTTTCCATGATGTAATGATAAAAATGAAACTTTCATATATTTCAGATTCATTGCACACCAACTGAAATATTTCAGGTCTTTAATTGTTTTAATACTGATGATTATGGCATACAGCTCATGAAAACCCAAAATGCCTGTCCCAAAAAATGAGCATATTTCATCCCACCAATGGAAGACAAGAGTTTTTAATACAAAAAACACCAACCTTCAAATAATCATGTTCAGTTATGCACTCAATACTTGGTCGGGAATCCTTTTGCATGAATGACTGCTTCAATGCGGCGTGGCATGGAGGCAATCAGCCTGTGGCACTGCTGAGGTGTTATGGAGGCCCAGGATGCTTCGATAGCGGCCTTAAGCTCATCCAGAGTGTTGGGTCTTGGTCTCTCAACTTTCTCTTCACAATATCCCACAGGTTCTCTATGGGGTTCAGGTCAGGAGAGTTGGCAGGCCAATTGAGCACAGTAATACCATGGTCAGTAAACCATTTACCAGTGGTTTTGGCACTGTGAGCAGGTGCCAGGTCGTGCTGAAAAATGAAATCTTCATCTCCATAAAGCTTTTCAGCAGATGGAAGCATGAAGTGCTCCAAAATCTCCTGATAGCTAGCTGCATTGACCCTGCCCTTGATAAAACACAGTGGACCAACACCAGCAGCTGACATGACACCCCAGACCATCACTGACTGTGGGTGCTTCACACTGGACTTCTGGCATTTTGGCCTTTCCTTCTCCCCAGTCTTCCTCCAGACTCTGGCACCTTGATTTCTGAATGACATGCAAAATTTGCTTTCATCTGAAAAAAGTACTTTGGACCACTGAGCAACAGTCCAGTGCTGCTTCTCTGTAGCCCAGGTCAGGCACTTCTGCCGCTGTTTCTGGTTCAAGAGTGGCTTGACCTGGGGAATGTGGCACCTGTAGCCCATTTCCTGCACACACCTGTG